TCTGCTATGTGTGAAAAAAAAATCGACTGTACGGCACCGGAACCGTCTCCGTTACCGGTTTTGCCGATGCGTTTGAAAACGGCCCCAGACATCGTGGTTGTACAGTAAGTACAACGTGGGGACAAAAGCAGCACAGTAAATAATGAACTAAAATACATCTCCTGTGCATATTTGCTTCATATATAGGGCTTTTGTGTGTTCAGACTATTGGTTCCGTGCCTTTCAGGCAGAGGCACTCTGACTTGGAAGGAAACATCCCAAATTATTCGCCTTATACGACATATTTGTTAGGGCATCAGTGGGCCTATTCCCTCTCACTCCCCCGCAAATGAGGTCCAGAACCACCCATCAAAAGCATCTGTTCCACAAATGTGATCATACATGTCTGGTTACGTTTTCTGGCCAAATTAAAGATCCAATTTACAGATTCGGCTTAAACGTATCAAGTGGTTCCTCGAAGATGTGCTCCAGGTTCGTAGGAAAGCTCACTCCTGTTTATGTCGAGCAGGCTCCAAGTGAGGAATACGTTTCTGGGATGACCGCGGATATTTCTAGAGACTGTGAGTTTTATTCCGTCTGTTCGCGTTACATAGTTGTGTCTGCTTACAGCACAGCTGTAAAATGGGAGCTTTTCCGATTTCTTCACGCATTTGTTTTCTGTGTTAGCCTTCCACGTTAGTTTTGTAAGGCATTTCACAGCTTTGTTTGTGTGGTGACTTTGGTCATCGCCTGAGCCACAGCTGTTGTCCCTAAATAACCCAGCAACTGCTGCGACATGCAAAGTGGTCGGTTCTCAAGAGAAGGCAGAAGAAGCAGAAATTTGACATTTACCGCAAACCAAGGTAGCTTCACAAATGCAGAGCCAATCAATGACGCGCTAGTACTGGAGTCATCCATGATATTGCTATGTACTTCGTTAACACTCGTCCGTGTGTCACCTCATGGGTGTTGTTATATCCAGTTTCGTCCTTTTTAGGATGAATTTTTTTGTTATTTGAAGCCCCACCCTGGCTTTTTCCAGGGGCCGCAATATAGGCAGGCCATAAATATGGCCAATTGTCTGAACGCGGTTTCTGGGACCTCTCCACGGCGATCGTCATCCACATGTTGGCACTTTGTGTCATCGGGTGTTTATCGCTTGTGTGGTGTCCTGGTGGGGTAGAAAGTCAGTCACTCACCTCACGGAAAGCAAAGAATAGTAACACTGCATCCTACGAGGCGTGTCGTAAGAGGTTACTAAGGGCAGAGTTGCGCACGAGTTAGCTACCTTATCATGTAAAAACAGCAGCCAAAACAAAAAAAACATGGACAAGTAAACTGATTGAAGAAAGACACCGATACTAATATGCTGTAGTTTCCCCAACAGATGTTGCCTATTTACGTAACCATTTTCTTGGTCCTAGCTCATACACACAGCACTAAGATATTGACTACAGGATTATAGCCACGTGTGATTATTGTTGCAGTGTAAATGGAGGTTAAGCCCCCCCCCCCCCTTCAGAGAGTCCTCAATCTGTAGTTTACTGCAGGTTTTGTTTTTCTGCATTACTATGTAGAACAGGACTATTGAACTAAGATTACTAAGGGGCCAAAGTTTTGAACATGGGGATCGTCACGGCTCAGAGTTCTATCATAGAAAGAATGTTGAATTATGAATCGACATCACAGCACTTGGGACACCCCTATAAGCGCTCCGTCCTCATCTTTAGCAGCAAGCGAATTTAAAATTCCGATGGTACCAGTAACTGTCTGACTGTATATCCGCCTCTCCTTTCTCCTGAGTGTCGAGCGTCTGCTAGATACCCCTGGAACTCCGCCATTCTCCCCAGACCGTAATGATATATCTGTGCCTCGGCACTGTTCACTCGCGCCTAAAGGGCCCTCACGACATCCAGCTGGTCATATATCAGTTCACCACCAAGTGGTGCAGAACTGGACAGTCTATCTGCCTGCTCATTTCCCAACATAACCTGGAGAAAATATTCAAAGGATGCTATCCGGGACCTTTGTAGTGATGCTTGTCACTCTGCACAGAAAGAGTATTACTACAAATGGCAATGATTAGCAGGCCACTTACCAGGCTAGTTAGATTTGTACCCTATCAGGACATCACACAAGCGATAAACACAAAGTGCCACCGTGTGGATGAGGATCACCGCGGAGAGGTCCCAGAAACCGCGTTCAGCCATTAGACCATATTTATGGTGGGGGTATTTTGCACCCCATGTCAAGAGCCAGAGTAGGGCTTCAAATAACGGAAAATTGCATCTCACAAGGAGATGGCTAGATATTCGCTTACCAGGCTTCCGCGGGCAGCCAGTTAAATAACCCCGATGTAGAACATAGTCCGGTTTAAGCCAAAAATGACCCTCAAAAAGCACATACATGCATTCATAATGGAACGATCAATGCTTTTGAAAGGCAGGCATAGTACTGGTAACCTGGCGTTTTATATATATATATGCGTGTGTGTTTATACATATGTAATAGGCTCCCTTTCATGTTATGAGCCGTATTTGGCACATAGGTTTCCCCTCATCTCTCAGTTGAGCAAATGTCCTAGACCAACCTTTATGTCCCTGTAAGATGTAGCTGCGAACAAACTATTCGCATTGTCTTATATGTCGTGAGTGCTGTGATGTAAATTCTCAACTGAATTATATGCTGTGTTGGTTTGGCTATAAGTGCATTTAAATATTACGACCATCGTGAAATATCAGAAAAAAGGGGCATAACTAGTGAATTAAAACACTCCGATTTTGAGTTGTCCGGAAAAAAAAAGCATAGCCGGAAATGGAAAGAAGAATTACTCCGTTCTGAAAAAAAAAAATAAAAAAATTCAGTTACCCCAGGGCAGAGGAAGATGCCTTGAAAACTGCAGGTGACAAGGAGAGAGAGAGAGAGAGACAGAGAGCCAAACAATCAAAAGGGTACAAGTGCTATATGGATAATAAATAATACGGCTGAAGTTTCCTTGATTTGTAGCCATATGAGTCTCAGCCTTGAAATCTTAATCCTACAGAATGCAAATCTGGAGGGGAAAACTTAAGAAGAAAAAGCAGAGCCAGTTCAAGATTCCACACAAATGGTTTGTAACAAAGTAGGCTAATAAAAGGAGAAATAAAACACAAGCTTAATACGTGTACAACTAATGCTGAGACTAAGAGGTTTATGTAAAAAAAAAAAAATGTAAATTTCACGAACTGACAAACTTCAAAACTAGTCTACAGATGTCTAGCCCGATGATACTAACAAGGCTGAGGTAATTAAAGAGCACAAGTGTAATCTGTGAAAAATTCGAATTGTAAGATTATAGTTTTTCCACAGTTGTGATCATTTTGCAATATCTGACACCGCACAATTTAAAAAAAAAAAAAAAAATCAATTTTCACAAAATCATTCCCTACAAGCCATTGACTGACACATTTGTCTAAAGTATCTATCTATTGACCTTCATGTTTTAAAATATTTTTGGAAAGAATTCAAATTAAACCCGTTGACATATTTTCAGATTAACTGTTTACTGTGCGAACCTTGCACAGTATGCATTCTAATAATGCTTTGTCATCGGAAATACAGACCGGAGTGATGAGACATAGATGCAAAAGAGAGGTAGCTTATGAATGATATCTAAATCAATCAATTTGCTTTGAAGTAAGTGAAACGTGGCATTCCATCTTTGCAACCATTCCTTCTCAGACTATATGGTACACATTTTAAACGACTAGCTCACAATTTTGAAATACACAAATGAGCCTCTAGTATCATCACTAATTTATGGTGAAAAGATATCAAACAAATAAAAAGTAGAACCAAATTGTCACAAACGACAAGTGAACATTCTTTAGCAATAGCACATTACACAAAATTCCCCAACAAGAAGAATACCTAAAAATCTCTCAGCCGACGTATTTCTGAAAGACCAAAGAAGTCCCATTGCTGTCCGGCCACTAGAATGAATGACATGTGTGGCCACCGAAAGTAAACACTGGCCAGCTACAAACATCATGGGCTATATGCACAAAGTATCACTATGCAGCACGTCACTCTACACTCACCCGGCTGAAGAGACCCCACAAATGTTTTTGCCTAGTATTTTAAGCATACCCACCACCATTCATTAACTGGTGCCTGCGCACCAGGAATTAAATGGTATCATAGAATAACCAATGTAGAGCTTTGGAAGAGAACTTAACAGGCTTCGGTGAACCAAGAGGTGAGGAAAAATCACTGCCGTTGGATAGGACACACTGAGAAAACAGCATAACTAGAATCTCTTTGCATTCGAACCCACAGGGTCATAGGAATAAAGGAAGGCAAAAAAAAAAAACAAAAAAAAACACGGAGAAGAGAGCTGGAGAATGAAGTTAGAAAGATGGGGAGTTCGTGGGGAAAGCTCCATGCAATGGCGAAGGATAGAACGACTTGGCGTGAGTTGGTTGAGGGCCTATGCTCCATTGGGGGATAGAAAGGCAGAAGAAGAAGATCACCGTTTGCCTGACTGCTTTGTCTTCCAGAAACCATGACTTTTATTACTGCCTTTCATTCATTCATTTTTTTTTTTGCTTCTTTGAAAATTTTCTGTAACAAACAGCTAGTTCAAGATTAAAAGTTCCATTTTAAATGGTCAATGATATGCATCTTCACGTTGCCACAGGAAAGACAGCTGTTCTCTAAATGATAAAGTAGTGCAATTTATTACAGAGCTATCTCTAAGCATCAGACAATGCCAAACTGTTTCTTTTCACTGTATAATACAACATTACACATGCAGAAGAGGCAACTTTAAAATGAAAAACGAAGACAGGAATATCAATTGTACTTTTAATGCATGTAATGAAGTGCAAAATCTTAACAACAATGTAAGACATTAACCATTCTATCACTCAATAACAAGACAATGAAAATGATGGTCAAATACATAGCATGCACATCCTATTATTCAATGCAGTCAATCAATCTATGCTACAGATCCTCATATTTTATGATACAAATGGAATTTAACTGTCAAACTTTCCAAGGAGGTCACCATCTCTGAATAAGAAATATTCCTGAAAGAAAGAAAAATCATATTTAAAGAATGAACAGGACAGTCATCCACAAGATAAATAACATAACTGCTCTTTATTAGCATTCCCCGGCTGTAAATTTAGGTGGAGTTTTGGCTTGTGCACTTCTGGAAATTGGTCTTAATTCAGAATGTGAGCTTTGCATGCATAACTGTTTCCGTACCTCTCAGGCACTCTGAACCTGAAGGAAACAACCCCTAATTAGTCACCTCCTATGACTCGCTTGTTTGGGTGCCTATTTCTAAACAGGAGACCCAGAACCACGCGGATAACAATTTGACACATAAGTAACTGGACAAACAAAAGTGGCTAAAGAAAGAAAACAATGCATTGATATGCTTAATTAAATCACGTACGAGGTACAAACCAAAGTCTTGCACAGAAATCTTTCCAACAGTAACAGGTGACCGAGATTGTTGCATCAGATGTTTTTTGCGCGACTTTGTTTACTTCCTGCTAATACAGTCTTAGTGATTCTCATATATCATTTAAGCCATGGACTGTGAAGGCATCAATAATAACATCTTGCAGTTTATTTGTAGTTTGTCCATTTTTTAAACCCACCTGCCAGCAGTAGCTAAGTTGAGGGTGTTTACGCTAGCTTTAACAGCAGTGCTGTGTTACTAAACAGATCAGCTTGTTCATCCTTTTAGAGTTTGACATCTTTGCTCTTATCCACACTAAATTTTCTAACTGTTTTTGCACCCAAAACCTCTTACTGCTAAAACTGGAGAACCAGTATCTATTTTAGTGCCAGAAGCACACTAGACTTATACAAAATGTAATTATACATCTTTGGCAGCCAGCTTATGCCACTAACACAAACTCATTAACGGGAAAAAAAAAAAAATCAGGCACAGGATATTCCAAATATTACACTTTAAATTAGCCGTTTCTTTAAATAGCCAGAGTGATTAGAAAAGTACAACAAATTACCTTTTCTTCCAAGACAACTTTTGTTCCACCATACTCAGGAAGCAATACTCGGTCCCCAACTTTGACACTTGGTGCAACAATAGTGCCACTCTGAATACAAAAAGATTTTACACAGCTGAAACAGCCAAACTCACAAACAAATGCAATGCTGTATCAATTAGACATTATCTTAGATTTAGACACTTCTAAAGCTATGCTGGCTACACATTATACACAGTACGAAGCATCATTTTACATGTAATATATAGAACCACAAGGGTCCTTTGTGCGAGCTCTGCGCTCATCCAAGGATGTAACTGTGATGTGCACATTTACAGCATGCCTGTAATATTTGCATCTTTTTGCCGACACATCCGACAGCAAATTCTGAGCTGGTTAGTCTCCCTGGTCAGTTTCGCGGGACAACTGCATTCTCACTATTGTATGGTCATCTTTGTTTCCCAGGTCACAGGTGGTGCTACACACCAGAGAAGCCACATAATGCAGGTCAGCCCTCAAGAGAAGGCAGGGGCAAAACATGAGCATTCCACGCCATCCAAAAAGGTTTTCATTAATGTAGAGCCAGTGTATGGTGCTGCGGTATTGGGCTCACCCAAGGAATCGTTATGTCCCGCTCATGACTGTTTAACCTCACTTCCATATTTTGAACATCTCATTGATCATGGGCTTTGTCTTCAGAAGCCAGCAGTAGGCAGCCTGCTGACCTGAAATTTTGATTACCTATAAATGAGTACTTTGCTTGTTTTGCATGTTAAGATTTTTACTGCAGGGGACGTCTGAGTCTACGATAGTGTCATTTGACTATCTCCCATATGATGCGTAGGGGCATTGAATCGGGCAGTATACAGACAGATAGGTCCAGTTTATTTTTTATCTATGTCAGTTCTATGACTATTTTGAGAAAGGTGACTTAATGAAAAACCAAACTCTCCGTATAGGTTCCGATGCCCCATAGTGGGGTCAAGAAGAGATCAACTGCTTCCAAAACATGCATGTCATAAAAGTTTACTAACTGAGGGGCTTCCTTCGAAGTACGAGTCAGCCTGAGAGGCAAGGAACCAACAATCTACATGTAAAATCGATGTGCAAGCAAGACTCAGGTTCTGGAATAAGACAATTCCAGGGGTGGACAAAAGCAACAAATACAGCCAGACTTACAGCCAATAAATGTAAAGTAGAAGGAAACAAACATCCAGGTTCGTTCACCAATTCGGCACATGCAAAGTATTGTTAGTGCATCTCTGTAGCTTGGAGTTTAGTGAAGGAATTGTTCAGTTTGAATAGGATGGATGTAGCAGAGAAATTAACTTATTTCATCACTCAATGTTTTTAGCCTCACATGATGTATAAAAAAAATTATGCACCTGTCTCTGACATAATTGTTCTTCGCATTCACTGGCTGTAAACTCCAGCAGAAAGTTCTGATTGCTCATATACCCCAGGACTCTGTTCCAGAACCCGAGTGTTGCGTACACATCCATATTATCGATCTGGCTTATCTGTACACAAAAAGTTGGATCCTTGTCTCTCAGGCAGATACATTCTGACGTCGAAGGAACCTCCTCAGTTGATTCTTACGCCCTATTATTTTATTTTACTTTATCTTGGGGGTTCAGAGATTTCCTAGGGAGTTCAAGGGAAAGTGCCATGTTCTAGGAGTGTCATGAAATGACTGTTCAGTATCCATATTCAATGTCGACAAACCGTCTTCCGCATGAAAATGCGCACCTTTTGTGCAAAAAACTCTGCAAACTTTCTGAGCGAATGTGTTCGTAGCTTTTACCATTTTTACTGTGCGCTACTTTTGTTCGTTCGTGTGAAATAAACACCGACTTATACTAACACCCTTATGCTACAGGACCTTCCCAGAAATCTCCCTATGAATTCCCCATGATTAAGTCAAACATAAGAACCGCCTCTTACGGCATGCGTGCAGGGGGTCTTTTTATACACCCCCCCCCCCAATCAATGGGGTGCCGGAACCAACAGGGATGTCAGCCTATTTGTAAAAATTCAAACACAAGAACTGCATTAGGTCTAGTCATTAATATAAAATCTAAAGATGACCTTTTACCAAAGGAGGTCTTAAATAAAGTTAAGACAATTTAGACTCCAAAGAGAAATCAGGCTTACATCTTTCCGTGCACCAGGACCGATTGCAACAACTGTAGCCTCAACAACTTTTCCTTGTGCTTTCTCAGGAAGCATTATCCCTCCCTTGGTTTTAACCTCAGGTAAAAACCTTTCAACGAGCACTCGATCAAACAAGGGAAGAAATCTCTTAAATGCTTGAGCCTGAAAAACAAATAATAATGCTAATTTTTTCAAAGCTACAATTACAAATAATTTACATATTTACACTAGCAGACGTGACAGGACATAAAAAGAGAGATATGAATAGACATTATTTTGGCTTTGACAAGCAACAAAAGTGAACAAGACACTACTAGTTTTATCACAGAAGGAAAAATGGGGCATCAAATCTAACAAAGTAACAGCTGGAAGCACAGTATCCATCTAATCCGATGAAATACTAAAATTCAGTAAAATACACATCTGAATTTCTCGCATTGGAAATATTTCCTAACACTGTTAATTAAAACCAAGTACAGCTAAATTGTGTGAGTCACTGCCTGTTCAACTTCAAAATAGTTTCTTGTATATTAATTTACAAAATGTGTACAGAATATCTATATGCCATTGATTGTAGCCAATTTTGCATACACTGAGTGCACATACTTTTTACAAACTTTAAGCAGCTCCAAATTCTTAAACAGTGACAAAGGAAGGATTAAGATGCAGAAGGCATATGATACCAACTAACATACAATGAGACTGCAACTCTTTCACTTTCACCCCTGGGTATCCACTATTCTGTATCATGAGCAATCCCCAGATTGTGCACAGGCAAAACTTTGAAAAAGCCAAATCACCACTTTCAGAATTGAAGACCCTGGTCTAAGAATATTTGCAATTTGTTAAAATTTACTTGCTTTCATAATGACAATGAAGCTACTATAGCCAACGTGCAGGAAACACTAGAAACCAATTGACAATTTCTATTAGACCCGTCTAAGAAGCCAGAAGTTGAACACAAGCAGCTTAACTTCAAGTTTATTTAACTTGTAATAATGTGTAAGTTTAGTGTAGGACAATTAACCGATATTTTAGTTTTAAATTAAAACCCAAACCTATGATCATCTGGCTGACGCCTTTAAGATTGCGCTGAAGGATCAATTTAACACCCTAGCCTTACCATAACATTCTTTCTCTTCTGCTTTCAGTCTTCCAAAGAAATATAAGATTACAGACTCAATGACTCAACAACACATACAGACCCTTTGTTCTGTAACAATTATTCATGAGTGGATTTTGCATTTTTTGTTTGTTTTTAAAGGAACAGAAAGTTGAGAAAGCCAGTCTGAAGTAAAGCTTTCTAGGCCGTTTTTTAGATGCAGGTTAACTGTTTTTATTATTACTATTCTTTGCTTCCCTAATACTATTATATGAATATATAAATACGAACATATGAAAGCTATTTTTAACCAGCAGCCATAAGCCTCAAGACAATACATGTATTTTTTTTAGTAAGGCGTCAACGCGTGACCTTTACGCATTTTCTGTAAGTTAACCCACGTGTGGTTCATAATTTTCTACACAGTCATGGCATACGGTTTGTACAACTACGTATTGAATTACTTCATAAAATACAAAGCACTAATTTACAGTTACACACAAGAAAATCTACAACAACCACGTAATGACGTACCATTATCAATTTATGGTGAGCTTCAGCGAGTTTTGTGCAAGCTCAGTTTAAAGTCTAGTTCTGTCAGTGAAGAGAACGTCCCCTATTGCAGCAGACGGTAGCTTCTAGAACGGCCCTTAAAAAAACCCACCTAACTGCGCATGACTGATAACCTTAGTTAAAGGGATCTTTTATTTCACAGTATCAATTATATGTCTTACAAATTATTTGTTATTATAATATCTAAGTATTATGCTGTTAATACATTTATTTTGTCAAAATTTGACCGTTAATGTAAGTATCTTAAAATACTACTGTAAATTATATAAAATACAATGTAGACAAAAAGTTATCAATGCCTAGTCCCTTGTTCTAGAAGTCTGATGACATCCTGTATTTCAAGGTCTAACTGTTCAGTTCAGTCTCTTAGTTAACCCCGCTTTGAGCTGTAGTGATTTGACGTTCCACAGTTCAGGTAAATCAGTAGTGTTACACATTCGGGCTAATTTGTCATTGACTTAGTTCAGTTGAATCGACGTTTTGCAATGTCAATAGTTATCAACGCAGTGACTTGTTTTGCAAAAATTGTTTTAATGGTTTACTTTTTGGTAGCCACGTGGGTTGACATGTGCTGGGAAAATGAAGCCGGGCAAGACCTCTCCTCTCATGTACGCATGTTGTTTCTGAGTTTCTGAACTGGATGATGTGTGTCCATTTTATTTAACGTTCTATTATATATGCTAGAAGATATTTCAGCGTTTTATATACAAATGTAGCCAACGGTCGTATCCGTCCATCCAGGGGCGAAGGAAGGGGGTGCTGGCCTGCGCGGGTGTCATCACTTATCTTAGCCGTTAGTTACTGTTAGGGGTAACAAGGAATGTGTTCAACAATACATTGAAAACAAAGATTTTGGTATATCGACATGGAAAAAAGGGTCATGAGGTCGCTGATGCAATGATGCATGGTGAACTTGATTGCAATAGTTGCATCGACTCCTGGTGTAAAGGACTTCAGTAAACATGTCCTTGTCAACCCTTTAAAAGCCCTATAGTTACATGGTTCTCTTTTGGTTCTCTTTGAACATGCATATGGTTTAGGTTAGGCAGACCTACCAGAGAGTACTACCGGTGGTGGAAATTAGTGGTGAAGCTTTGACGAGAACACACCTGCTGACATATTTTGAGTTTGTTCGCTGTCTGTCCTTCAAAGGCAACGTCAACCATGTTACAACGAAAGCCTGTTATGTAAAGGCTTATATCAGCAGTGAGGATTCTGGCCATAGCCAGCATCGAGCAGAAACTGCTTCTGCGACTGTTCTGGGGACTGGTTCTTTCTCCGGTCAAATATGCTCACCGTCAGCAATACTCGGATTAAAAGACTGGAAAAGGTGCAAAATGAAGTCTTGCGCAGCAGTGAGATTTCTTCTTGACTTCCCGACAGTGCAGCATAGGATGAAGATCTAGAGGGCTTGTGCATACCTGAAGATAAGCTTGGATTTTGCTCACCCTCTGCACAATGTTTTCTTTAGGATAAAGAGTAACAGGCTAAAAAGGTGCAAATCATGGCTTGGTAGGGTAGCCACCAACGATATGCGGGTCTGCAGTTTTACAGACATTTACCTTAGTAGATGGATACCTATCTATCTCAGGTGCTCAACTGCTTTTCCAGTATTGCCACGCTTCATAGGAGCTGTCAGGATCATATCCCGTTGCTGAGGTCTACACAGGTGGGCCCGCTGTACGAGGGCAAATAAGGGCATTTGCATGTGTTCAGTTCATTATTCTCAACAAACAACTCCCAACATGGAAATTGTTCTCTGCAATCTTATTCAGTTCTAACACATACTTTCAGTTTCAACTGTTTTTTAACCCAAGCTTGTCTTAATCCTGTAGGTTAAGAAAACACATATGTACTTTACCACTGTATGTACTTTTACAGTAACTCTTGTCTCAAAGATTTTTGAATTTGTTTCTGTCTGAATTCTGGACAGTGTCACAATAAATTATAAATTGCAAACCTCTGCATTGATCAAAGTTATTTATGTCCAAAACACTTCTATTTTTTTAAGCTATGAATTGGAAAGGCAAAACAGCATGGAAAACCTATAGCATGGCACTTGAGATGTTGCATTTTTTATGTGGCAACTTAAGGTTGTGTAATGTATTCTTAGTAGCTTTGGACTGAAATGCTATTAGTAGAGAACAACTCTTAGAACACCTTAGACCAAGAAGAAAACATCTACATGATTTTAACGTTCATAAACAGTATCGACTCCTGAAATCTGAGGTATTTTGACCATGTTGCGCGTTACAGGGCTGACCTTCATGAAGGTGGATGCAAGACATTGATGTTGCATTGGCTATACGAACACATTTAATTGTAGACCTGTATGCATGCCATGGAGAGAGTGATGCTCTGTACAGGACCTGCTGATTGATGAGGATGAATTGGAAGTGTGGAGAAAATCACGCTTGATTGATTAAACAGAAGGAACTTTTGTTGCATATCTTATTTTTCTTGGTTTAAATGCTTGTTTAATCAAATGAATTGTCTTTTTTTTTTTTTTTTAAACAGCTTCTATTTGCACAACACAATGTTCCGAGTAGCAAGTGTGTTCCGTTCATCTGCTGCTAGGCAGTTAACACCTGTCTTGAAAAGATACTATGCCAAAGATATCAAGTTTGGTGCTGACGCAAGGGCACTCATGCTTCAGGGAGTGGATCTGTTAACAGACGCTGTTGCAGTTACCATGGGGCCAAAGGTAAGGGGGTGAAGAAGTATACATAATGTCAGTATTGTTTTTGTATATTTAAAGACCATTCTGTAGCCTGGACATGGTTCCATGAGATGATGGCTAGGAGTAAGTGATTGCGTTGTTTTTGATAGATGGTATCTTGTTCAAAGAAAATAAGTTTTGGGGTATTGAGAACTGCAGGCATTGTGAAAAAAAAAAAAAAACAATTAGTAGTAAAGAACCCTTTTCCTCGCCTTCAGGCATGTATCACTAGACATATATTTTATAGACTAATCAGCACTCTGTGGGTGATGTGTTCAACATCACGCCATTCATCTTTGCTTCCCAGGATAAACCTCATACCCACTGTGGCTCTCTACTAAAGAGGTAGTAATTAAAACGAAGAGATTTTCTGTGTGGGTCTCAAGGCCTTTTTATAGGGAGAACAAGAATAGACCCACTGCCTACCTAAAAGCAGGTCGTAATGTTTTAACTGGTTGGCAGCTTTTTTCATAGTCATAATAGTGCATCTGCTTTAGAGGCAAGGAACCAACAGAGTGTACGTATCACTCATGTTCTGGACTGGGACTACACTCCAGAGTGGGCAAACAACCAGAACTTGCAGCCATTTTTAAGGTTATTTATGTGAATACAAAAAAAGAGAGAGAGGTCTGTGAAGCATGTCGGCGAAGAGGGTGGATGGTGTTGAAAAGTACAGAAAAGGGGTTGTATATTGGAAAGGGGGCAGAGAGAAGTAAAGAAATGCATGCAACATTTGCTGCATTGTAAAAAAAATATGACATAAAGGCTCATTACCAGATTTATGATTTGCCTTTTTTTTTCTTTCCAACCAGGGACGTAACGTAATCTTGGAGCAGAGTTGGGGCAGCCCAAAAATCACCAAGGACGGAGTAACAGTTGCTAAGGGCATTGAATTGAAAGACAAATTTCAGAATATTGGTGCCAGGCTAGTACAGGATGTTGCAAACAACACAAATGAAGAAGCTGGAGATGGCACAACTGCTGCTACTGTGCTTGCAAGATCCATTGCAAAAGAAGGCTTTGAAAGAATTAGCAGAGGAGCAAATCCAGTTGAAATCCGTCGAGGTGCGTTTGTGATGTATATCAGTTATTCTCCCAATATTTTTTAGAGCTTTCAAAAAGTATATAAGTATTTTATTTAAAGATTGTTATTCGTAAGTGAAGGAGAGAGAGAGTGTAATCAAAGAGTTAAAATTCCAGTCCCGTCTTTAGATCAGATTCTAATATCCAGTATGGTTTTCCGTATTTCTTAAGCAATAGTTGCACATTAACTCCTGTCTTCAGATCAAAAGCAGTAAATACTTAAATCTGTAGGAGTTCAACAGAGGCACCATGGAGCAAGTGTTTGAGCTAATAAGTCGGAAATAAATAACACGTCTGAGATTGTAGACATTATATATTTTTGTAATCCCTAGAAATGGACGTGCTGCAGGTGTCTTGCGTGAGGTCCCTTAAAACCAGCACAGTGTAGGACTGGCGCCCGAGTGACGTATGGAGTATCTCCTTATACACATCATGTTGAACTTAACTTTCCCTCACACCTGTGACATAAATCACTGTGCCACTTTTTGGTACTGAAAGAATTGTGTGTCCACTAGAAGTAAGATTTTAGATGATACCAGTGCTACTGCATGACATCATTAAATAGCGTACGTATTCAGTGCAATTCTGCTAGCAGCTAGATAGTTAAAATAATCTCCTGAATTTTTTTTTTTTAATGTTCCACAAACTACATGTAGGTTTTGAGTTTTAGTAATCAGTATACTTTTTTTGTTTATTTGTTGCTGTGGTAGCGCATTGGTAAACCCTTAAAACTTAACACTGTCCCAAGCAGCGCGCCATGTGTGCTCAGCTTATATATGTGTGTATCAGCGTAACACAGTGTGTTATTAATTGTATGTTTATTCTGGATATGCAAAATATATCTAGCTTAATATTTTGAATGCCACATAGTATTTGTTGTATCCCTGAAGGTCATGCAAAGATGCAATTTTTCACTGTTTTTGAAACCATCTAGAACTGAAATAGTTCAGTTTTTAATTTGATTTTAAAAGTTCAGAGCTTGCAGGGCAACTTTCTACATAAGAATTTACTGAGGACAGCCTTAAAATGATTGTTTGCAATGTCCTTGTAGGTGTGATGCTTGCAGTTGACGCTGTTGTTGAACAGCTGAAGAAAATGTCCAGGCCTGTTACAACTCCAGAGGAAATTGCACAGGTTTGTGATTTGAAAACACTTTTTGTCCTGAAGTTTTTGTATTGTAACTCAGTCCCAAAGAATGGGTGATGTGAGAATCACTAGCTGCCAAATACCCTCACTAGCTTAATTTGTTTTTTGGGGGGTGTGGTTTATCCAATGGTCACCGTTACTGTTATAAAGTTAAGAGCGACACTATTCCATTCTAAAGTAGTAACAGCTATGTGACAAGGAAGTGCACTTAACAACTGCGGTAGAATTATTAACATAACCGACAAGTTTAAATCTTAACCACGTATGTCTAGATTTAGCAGGAAATGCATGATGCAGTTTCAGGGTACTGAAAGAGATGATACACATGCTGGGAAGGTTACTGGCAATGTAAATGTGACTGTTTAATGCAGTGTAGTTATGATGCTTTGTGTTCTGTTTAACATGGTTCCAGTTTTTTTCTTTTTCACTTCTGTTGTAGGTTGCCACAATATCAGCAAATGGTGATAGATCTATTGGTGAGTTGATTTCCAGTGCAATGAAGAAAGTAGGCAGAGATGGTGTTATAACTGTCAAGGTGAGTGTGTTTCATATAGTTTTATTTGGCCTTTTTTTTTCTACTTAAATTGTCCTTGCTTATTTTGATAATAGAGAGCCTAGTGCATTTATGTAAAAGTAGGTCACATCTAGCCTTTGAATCAGTTACTTTTTCTAAATGACCATTCTAAATAACTATTGATTGATGACATTAAAGAATTATAACATCTATATAGGACAATAGCCATTGATGTCCATCAAGCAGTGGATTGCAAACAGTTCCTTTCCACAACGCTTAGTGGTAGAAGTTAATGATGATTTTGTTAAGCTTATGAAAGTTGGTTTGGCACATTAGTGCATTTGTTTACAGCTTATATTGTGACATTTTATCTGTTATGTGGTATTGGTAATGGGCAACTTAGGTGCCTAATGTGATCTCTCATGTTTTTCCACAGGATGGAAAGACTCTTAGGGATGAATTGGAAACAATTGAGGGAATGAAATTTGATAGAGGTTACATCTCCCCATATTTCATGAACACATCAAAAGGTAAGTATTTTTTGTTAAAATTAAATTTTAGAGTGTGTATATATTCCTTTTTCAACTCTTTGTTACACACACATACAGTAGAATAAGCCAGGTTTATATCCTATTAAAATTTTTTGGAGATGCAAGTAGTGTATTATCTTATCTACATTCCTCCCATTCCTCTGCCTCAAAAAGTTCATGCTTTGTCATTTGTTTGTTCCAGGGGCAAAGTGCGAGTTCCAAGATGCCTTCGTTCTATTTAGTGAGAAAAGGATTTCCAGCATTCAGTCTATCATTCCTGCACTGGAACTTGCAAACCAGTCTCGTAAACCCCTGCTCATCATTGCAGAAGATGTTGATGGTGAAGCATTGAGCACATTGGTTTTAAACAGGTACGGGCAGCAGCATATACTTTTTGTATTATTATTATTATCAAAACGTGCAATATATAAATAAGACATGTATTTTTATTGACCAAACAACACTTTGTGGGTGATGTGGTCAGCATCATGCCGGCTGTTTATTTTCTAGGATTCGCTGGTACCAACTCGAGGCTGGGAGACAAGGTCATTTTTTTAGAGAGGAAAAGCCCCCTTCCTATCCGCAGGCGAGCGTTTAGCTGCTAGATCGTGGCGGCTCCCTAAAAGAAGAGTATGTAGATCGTAAATAAGGGGTTCATGGCAATGTTCGGTCACTAAAGCAGACCATAATTTTTAAACAGCCCACGGAACAGAAACATTTTTTGTTGCAAAAATTGCCCAGAAATATTTGTCTGTGGGTACACAACTCAATAACACGGCCTATGGATAATTTTTCTGAAAATTAATCTTAATAATCTGCAGCTCGCTTCCCTGTGGCAGTATGTCATGTTGTAACTTTTTCTAGTTATTTTGGGAGTCTTGCTGGTCGTGTTGCCTTCGGAGTGCATCTGCCTGAGAAGTGAGGAAACAACAGCATACTTACAGATCAGCTAGATTTGTTAAACAGATGCACATGCAAAGGTTCTGGAACAAAACAAGTCCAGAAGTGGGCAAACATTAGAAGGATGGCTAATTATGTATCATTTAGTTATACTGATGCAGTTATACTGGTTTGAAAGTAAATAATTATTGTGTAGTTTAACTAAAAGGATTTGTTCTCTTTTAATGTATATCTGATTCCACTGTGCTGCTTACGCTGTTTAAAAAATCTTATTTTACTCAAATCTTATAGGTCATCTTCTATGCAGTGTTAATGCAAGCTGGTGCTAATATGTATGTTGGCATTTAGTTAACATCTGTTTGTAGCAATAGGCTTCAGATTATTATAACCAGTTATAAAGTGAATTTTACTACAAAAAAAATAGTTTTTGAATGTGTACACTCTCTGTGTGGGCATTGTAGGCGAAAACAAGAATAGAAACACTGTCTACCGAAAAGCATATCATAAGAGTCGAACATTGGTAGCCTCTTTCAGAGTCGGGGTGCATCTGCCTTGAGAGGCACAAACCAGCAGTCTGCATACAGTTGAGTCGGATCTGTAAAACATATATGCATGCAACACTCGGGTTAGGTACTGGAACAGGACTAGTCAGAAGTGAATAAACCACCAGAAATTTTCACAGGAGTTTTTGGGCAGTAAACTTGTGAAAGATAAAAAAATGTATGCACTGAAAGCTATGTACAAGTAATTCATGAAATTTGCATATTTTTAAAATTTTTTTTTTTAGAATTAAAGTTGGGCTCCAGGTCTGTGCTGTTAAGGCTCCTGGATTTGGTGACAACAGAAAAAACACACTTCACGATATGGCCATTGCTACTGGTGGAGTGGTAGGTGTTTTTGAATCAACTATGCTGTTGTCCATTGTCATTTTATTTTCTGACGTAGGAAGAAAATGAAACGCACATCTGTCCTTATACTGCCACACTGGATGCCCCTAGGCATCTGTGTGGAAAGGCCATATGGAACTATAGTGTACAGTAAGTCAACATGTAAAAGAAGCAAAGTACTCAGTTATGTAGGTAATCCAAATCCTGAGCCTGTAGACTGACTACTGCAGGCATCTAAAGACATAGCCCACGGTAAAAGAGATGTCAAACTATGAAAGTAAGGTTAGTCATTAGCAGGATGTGTAAGCCCGATTCCAGAGCACAACAAAATATGTTTGCTATGCAGTTACGGAAGCCTCCTTGAATCACAGGAAATGCCCCTGTCTTCTTTTGAGGGCTACCCAGGAACAGGCTTCTGTGGACTGGCCCGATATGGGGTACCACCTTTGACCTGGGAAACAAAGATCGCATAATGAGACTGTAGTGTCTCACAAAACTAACCGGAAAGGCTAACCCAGTCAACCATTGCCAGCAGAAGTTGGATGTGTCCACTAAGGAGCAAATATCGCAACCATGCTGTAAACTGGCACAAAACAATTAACATCTTTTCATGAGCGCAGAAGAATATTGTAACTTGTTTCTGAAATTTTTTTCAACTTGTCTTCTCTTGAGTGTTGAGCTTCTTGTTGATCAGTTATTTGTGTCTTTAATGTGTTTGTCTATTTGTAACTTATTTGTAACCCAACTTTTGATGCTATCTCCCCCCGATTTTCTTTCTTTGCATGTCATTTCTGTTCTTACTAAGCAGAATGTTTGAGAATTAAGATCTTTCAGTTGTGTGTTCTACTCTGTCAATCTTTTGTTAGGGCATAACATTGAATAATGATCATTTTAGTATGGGTATTACATCGAGCTCTGCTAATCATTCCGCTTGAAATAATCTGTTACAGCAGAAGTCATTTGGAGCTCTGTCATAATGCTTACTCCTTCCATGTGTTTTCCATCTTCTCTGCCTCTTAATTATTTTTTAAACCACCTGATCAGAGTTTGTCGCATGCACCAGATTTCTTACATTTCAAACACCTATTCTCATGATTACTTTTGGGCAGAGTGTGTGCGTAAGACAGGCATAAAGTACAGTTATTAGTTATTGGAACGTTGATGTATTTGCAGGTCTTTGGTGATGAAGGGAATTTGTACAAGTTGGAGGATATCCAGATCCAAGACTTTGGACAAGTTGGAGAGGTGACAGTTACCAAGGATGATACTTTATTAATGAAGGTAAGTTTGTTTGTCCGCCTGCAGTTACATTTATTTATCAGAGGACGTAGAGTTGAAGTGATGGTGGTGTGCTCTGCTTTAATGAAAGCCTCCTTGGATACCTTCCCTTGAGAGCTGACTGGGCTAAACATGATTACGCTAGATATGTTCGACAGAGACACCACCTATAAATGAAAGGACAAAAAGGATTCCACACATAACGCTACGTTATGACCCACGAAACCAACTAGAAGACTAACCTGGAAAACGAACGCCCAATGAAGTCACATGTGTTGGCTGAAAGGCGCATGTATGTCATTTATGCTGTAAACAGGCATGACACGGTTTCATCACTCAGAAGGTGAAGAATAAGAAAATGACAGTAGCTCACTGTTTTGTTTTTGGATCATAATTCCTTGGATTTGTATGATTAATCAAAGAGCATTGGTTTTGGTATTTTATATTTTCTTGGATTTTCCATTTACATTTAGTGATCTTTGAAGCTATAAGTGTATATTATTCTCTTTAAGGGCAAAGGCAGCAAGGCTGACATTGAGAAAAGAATTGCACAAATCAAGGACGAAATTGAAATCAGCACTTCAGAGTATGAAAAAGAAAAGTATGGAGAGCGTTTGGCAAAATTGTCAAATGGTGTTGCTGTACTCAAGGTCAGTTAAGATATCTGTTTAGTTCGACTTGATATCTATACCTGAGTTTCCTGTTTTCCTCATTTTCCCTTCCTATACTAATTGCTACCTACTTTCTTCTATCTTTACCCCTTCCTTCCCTCCCGGCCAAACCCCTGCAGCCCTAGACTTGAATTGAACCAGTCAACATAAGCCACATAGCAACATGACCTTGACATTATCATAGTGACATCACACTGTAGAGCAGGGCTATTTTACTAAGTTTACTCATAGGCCAAAATATTAAAAATGGTAATCACCAATAGCCCTAACTCGAGTATGGATAACATTGTCATTGCGTAACTTAATAGGTTAGGTTAACCCCTAGGGCCTAACCTACCGTAATGAAATGAAGCAATGTTTGAAAACATTATAATGTAAAGTGCACTAGTAATGATTAATTAATACTCACTTTTAGCTGAAATGCACATATTTTCAACTTGCCGTTGGGGTTATAAATACACATATTAGCATTGTCACTTCAATTGTCATAATTATGTTAATAATGACACCACAGTTCGTTTTATATAGCTTTTTGCAGGAAATAACCAAAAGCTATAACGTTGCAAAATTCAGTTAATTGGAAAAGTTGCATTTCCTCCTTTTTTTTGAGCTGTTATCAGGTATAAAGTCAGAGAAATTCGAGTAAAGTGAAACCTCCTGGGTACGATTTTCCAAAATCTGTGTTGCCTTGAAAAATGCAGCTTAACTTTGTATTCTTCTACTGCCGGCCCACATTGATTGCCTAGCAAGCTCGCTGGTTTTGAATTGGGCATAGTTGGTGATATAAATATATATTTCTGAGACCGCTTGTTACTGATTGCAAGATTTTCACATTTCCGATTTGCTCTCTTAATAGTACTAGCCATGGCATCAAGTATTGAACTAAATATTAAAATATAGATTATTAAAAACACTGTTACTGTAATTGCTTTCTGCAATCTGTGACTTGTGTGTGGCAGTTAAATAGCCCTGCTTTTTGTTGTTGCATTCATCTTTTCTGAGTAGCATAATCAGTTTTAGCGTACCGCATCTACTCTTCCATTCAGCTGTCTATTGCTTGAGTGGTTGTCAAATGATGCTAAAGTATTGGAAAGCTTCAAGTTATTGATGATTTCAGTGTTGTCATTGTCTTTGTGAGCTTACTACATATCTAACAGAAATTATTCTGTTAGAATTGCAGTTAGTTTGTGGTTGTTTTTGTCAAAAAGATATAATTGGTTTATGTTCTAGTTATTTAAAATGTATGCAGTTAACATGTCTGAAGCATTTGCTTTGCATCTAAAAATTCCACAGATACGGATTATATCATGTTGACTATTGAGCAGTTTGGCTTCGCCTGCTAACTTTCTTCCCACTCCCTTCCTTCACTGGCTCTTCAAAAATACTTATGCTTGAATTTACTTTAGGCAACCTGAGATAAACACAGCAACATGATGCATCTAATTCTTAAAATGATAAAGCCGTTTTAGAGACAACAGTATAAAGCAACTACCCCTGAAGTTTTTTTCTTTCTCATAACTTTCAAATGTTTATTTCAGTCGCAGATCTTTTCACAGCTTTTGCGCAAGAAGAATAGGTACTGAAAATTCACGAGTACAAAACTTTCAAAGTGCCATACTTTTTAAGTATTCTATGTTAGAATGCAAAAAGTAAAAAAAAAAAGTAAAGATCCCTTTTCGTGCCTTTCGACGCATATGGGCAGAGCGTCCCATATTTTTTACAGACCACCAGCACTCGGTGGGTAATGTGGTCAGCATTACGCCGGCCGTCTTTACTTTCCCAGGACAGCCCACCCTGGTACCCATTTGAGGCTGGGTTGGCCTGCGCAGAATATATTGCATAATGTTTAGAATTCATGAAAACTAGTTTGTGTTATGATGCGCTGCTCAGGACAGAGTTATGTTAGTTTATTTTTTTCATTCTTTATACTGAGTAGCGTAATCAGCTTTTGTATTGTACAGCATCAACTCTTCCATTCAGTTTACATTGCTTCAGTGGTTGTCAAATGATGCTAAAGTATTGCAAAGCTCAAGGTTATTGATGGTTTCTTTATTGTGACTGTTTCTTTTGAGCTTACTACATGTCTAACATAGATATTGTTCTGTTATAACTGTAGTTAATTTGTGGTGGTTTTACTAAAGAAAAGAAAATAATTGGTTTGTGTATTTAGCATTGATGCAGTTAACCTTGACTGAAACATTTGCTATTTATCTAAAAATTCCATAGATACTTAACATTTTGACTCTTATTAAGCAGCCATGGATAGCAAGCAGTGCATTTTTTTTTTTTTTTTTTAAAGGCTTACATGTGCACAGTTTCACCATGCTCAGTGTCAGTGAGCTCTGGATTTAGGTGAAATTAGATGTCTTTGCTCATTTTCTGTTCCCTTTTCTCAACTCCTTCAGGGTTCTCATAAGAACACAAAGAAAAAATACTCGCCTTATGCTTTGACCCATGCAACTTAAAATGCACACAGAAATATGTTGCTTAAAAATTCCAGACATGATGATAAAGCCTTTTAGAGACTGAATAAACTGTGACCTGTCTTGTGAAGATCACGTCTTTCCTGGCTTGCTTCACATACTCTCTTCCTTCTCTACAAATCTTAAACAGCACTTTCGAGCACTTTTCTCTGTGTGTGTGATTGTCTTTAATATTGTGCTCTATGTTGTTTTGTTTGCATTCTTTGTCTACTCTGACTAGCATAATTTGCTATGTTAGAATGTATTAGAATGCAACAATAAATGCAAGACACTTTCCATTTATGCACCTTGCTGCATTTCTGGCATTCATCTTGCAACAATTACATTAATCTGCAACGCATTGATTGGATCATATATCTGATTTTTGACAAGCACGGGTTACCTTGTTTGTTTTAAATGTTAAAATTTGAAAGTTGTGGTGGATACACTGCTGTGTTATTGCATTCAAAGCAGCTGTCCTACTTTGCTGCAGATATTTCACAAATCTAGGTTGGGGAACAGGTGGAAAGTAGTTATCTGTAGGCAGAAACCTAGTTAGCTTCATACCTCGCCTGGCCTAGCTTGATAGGTGCCATTCAGAACACCTTATGCATGCACTGATCAGCATCATAATTTAATATGGTCTTTTTTGTGTTGCAGGTTGGTGGTACAAGTGAAGTAGAAGTCAACGAAAAGAAAGATAGAATCAATGATGCTCTTAATGCCACAAGAGCTGCAGTGGCTGAAGGAATTGTTCCAGGAGGTGGAACTGCTCTGCTCAGGTGTATACCAATCCTAGACAACATTAAGGCTGAAAATGATGACCAGACAGTCGGTATGTACTTATTTGCACAATAATGCAGATTCTAGTTTTAATGTGAAATTGTTTTTGCAATTATATTACTTTTTTAATAATCAGCTGTTGTAGTTCACAGCATCAACTCTTCCATTCAGTTTCTGTTGCTCGAGTGGTTGTCAAATGATGCTAAAGTGTTGAAAAGCTCAAAGTTATTGATGATTTCATTGTTGTCATTGTCTCTTGTGAGCTTATAACATGTATAATGTGACTTTACGGAATAACGTATGGGATAACGGGTGGCTATGGCCTAGGAGAAAAGAATGTGAGAGATGACAGATTAATAGCATGGGCTGAGTCACGCAGAATGATAATAGGTAACACCTGGTTTAAACACCATCCTCGAAGATTGTGGACTTGGAAGTCCTGGTGATAATGTCCGCAATCAGATTGATTATATTTTGATTTCAAGAAGATTCAGGAGCAGCTTAGTTGGAGCAAAAACTAGACCAGGAGCAGACTGCTTTAGTGACCATGTTCCAGTTGTATGAAAAATTAGAATAAAACTAAGGAACATTAGAAAAACACCAGAGAACATCAAGTTAAATTTATAAATTCTTAGAAGGGATAAAGAAATTAAGGACCAGTACAATGTCACTGTACAAAACTGGTAAAATGCAATTTAAATTATACAGACTGTTGATGAACAGTGGGATATGTTGCGTGAGTCAATTCAGCAGTAATCTAAAAAGACAGTCCCACCAACCCATAGAGTTGCAAAAAAGAAATGGATATCAACCGAAATTCTGCAGTTGATGGATGAGAGAAGTTTAAAGAAGAGGCCTTGGAGATGTGGTTTTACAGAAGAATGCTTAGAATACCTTGGACGGTCCAAAAGGAGCAACCAAGAGGTTTTGAAAGAGGCGGGAGCCTGAAGACAACTTATCACAGACATCAGAAGAGTCATTTTTCAGCCATGTTATGAGAAGAGGGGAAAATAGAACATGTTGTGAACACTGGAAAGATCTGTGGAAGGAGAGAGAGGAAGAGGAGAGAAGATGCTTGATAGTCTTGTTGCATGACATGGAGGTGTGTCGGCACACGAACTGGTACATGCTGCAGGAGATCACAGATTATGGAGAGGCATGATCGCCCACGCCAGTCGGCAAGGCTGATTATGATGATAAATGGGACTTTGTGCTATTATTACAGCTAAATTTGTATATTCTGCTTGCTTTAGTCAGAAAATTAATTTTAGTACTAGTTTAAAATGTGGACAGCATTGGCTGGGGAGTTTGCTATCTTGTCGACATTGTCTGTTGAAGTAGTTATGACTGGCAATATATACATTTTTTTTTTAAATTTGAAAGGGTTAATTTGTAATATGAAACGGGAGTTAACAGCAACATTTAAAGAGTGGATTGTTTCTTTGGTGACATGAGAATTGAAACTTTAGAATAACCAAGTTGTTGCTGTTTCTTAGCTAAGGGTGTAAAACAAGGGATAGTATGGATGTCTGTACAATAGTGTTCATGATCTTTAAAAAAAAAATAGAGGTGATGAATGCCACTGGAAAAGTTAGTGACAGTACTTTTTTTTTTTTTTTTTAACTTGAATAATTCTAAATTTATGAAATGTTTGGTTAAAATAGATTTTTCTAAAAGGCAGTTTCTTTATACCTCAGGTGTGAATATTATCAGAAAAGCTCTGCGTGTTCCGGCCCTTACCATCGCACAAAATGCTGGAGTTGATGCTCATGTTGTAGTTGAAAAAGTGCTCAACTCAACTGGAGATATTGGCTATGATGCTCTCAACAATGAATATGTTAACCTCATTGAGCGTGGAATCATTGATCCAACAAAGGTAAGGCTAGCAGTGCAGACATTTTTATGTTTACGTTTTTGTGCGTTTTTCCTTTAATTTCTTGGTGTTGTGGGGAGATTTCAGAAGCACATGCAGTTTACAAGGATGTATACAAGAATGTATTAAATATGGTATGGCGAGGATGGTATCGGCGCAGTTAGAAAACTTGCTGAATAGTTATCACATTTTGCAGCAAATTTGTAAACTGGAGTTTTTTTTTTAAAATAATTTTCTGTTGATTGACTAACTAATCATAATCAGTACATTTAGTTTCCTCTCCATGTGCTTAGATTTCTGATTGTTACTGAATTAGTTCTGTACCTTAAATTTGTAATGTTGGTTTGTGGTGGGGTAACTTCTGCATGGGAACGGTTCAGTAGTTCCAAGCAGTAATTAATGTTTAATACAGTTACATGTTATTAAGATGTAGTGATATGTGGCTTAGGCATTGCGAAAGTACTTTATAGTGCCGGGTTCTTCCCAGCTGCGGACGATTTGTCTTAGGTCAGTTTCAACAGTGGTACAGAGAGCTGTCTGTTCAGTGCCAATAAAATGCTGGGATTGGTTCTGCAATGTCCTGTAAAGGATACCCATCTAACTTTAAGATGTGATGGTTATCTTTATTAATGGAATTTCTGTTTTCTCTTCCCTTTGTCCAGGTGGTGAGAACTGCACTAGTTGATGCAGCTGGCGTTGCCTCACTCCTCACAACAGCAGAAACAGTTATCGTTGAACAGCCTAAGGATGATAAGGCTGACCCCATGGCTGGCATGGGAGGTATGGGTGGAATGGGAGGTATGGGTGGAATGATGTAAGGAGTCTTACACAGTTCAGTATTTTACAAAAATGACCAAGTTATGATCTGAAGTGCAATGAGAAGCTTAATGTATTATTTTAGTGGTCATTGCTGGTGTCAGAGAAAGGTCTGCACCAGAATTTTGAGAACTCGTCGGTTACATAACCTCATCTGTTGAACATCTCGTACACAATCATAAGATCATCATTTTAAACTGGGTAGATGTTTTATCATCACTTCTATTGTCTACATTATAAACAGAATGAGTTCGGGCCATAAAACAAAACATTTTTATGGTAAATCGGTCTAGTTATTGTATGTTAGTATTCATTGTTTCCATTTAGGCTGGGTTTTTTTTTAAGCTTCACCTTTGTCTAACGACCAGTTGCAGTTTATACTTGCATTGTTTGGTGAGAATGTTAGTATGTTTTTTATTTGAATGTTAATTGATGATTACAGATATCTTTGATATGTTTAATAAAGAGATTACTGTAATCCTTTTTCACCATGTTGTGTGGAGTTGTTAGTTAATTGAATGGTTGTTTTATTAGTGAAATGTTTGGTGTCAAAGAATAAAGTTTGTGATATATTTGCTACTCTTGTCTTATATTTTTTGTGTGTACATTAAGAATGAATGAATGAATGAGGTTCAGCTCCATCAGGACCACACTACAAGCGATAAACACCCGGTGAACTGCCACCGCTCAGATGAGAATCACTTGGGCGCAAGTCCCAGAAACTATGTTCTGCTATTATGTGTCCTCGTGGCGCCCGGGGTGAGGAAAAGTGTGTCCCATATTGGGATAACAAAAATATTGATTGTGGGTTATGTTGATTGAAATGTTAGAATAGTGTAGTGGTGGCAACATCTCCTGTGACAACTCTTGATGGGGGACACTAGTTATGTAAAGCAGTGTTTTCCCAGCCATGCTCCACCTAAGCCTTTCTAAACTTATGACTTCCTATGTAGCTTGAACTCTGTGAGTCCATTTTTGAATAGCCCCCTTAATCAAGTTAGGAAATAGTGATGCAAAGGGATTGTAGGGGATTATGATTAAAATTGGGTTATTTCAACAACTTTGAAGCCGAATCAGCTAAGTAAATAATTGCCCTGAGAAGCAGCAAAGCTGCCACTCCCCCAAGAATGTAATTTGTCTAGTGGCCTGTTTACGAGAACTAGAGTTAATCCTATTGGTTATGTGAATATGTTATCCAAAAATTAGCATTTAGGGATGTTTTCCGTTGAACTGGATGGTTTTGTTAAAAAAAAGGTCAAATTTTCCTGTAGTCCTCAGTGATATAGGCAGCCCAATCCAGATCTCTTTAGGCCTCCAGGATGTATTCAGTGCTCCATTGTTTTTTTTTTTTTTTTTTTGGGCGAACAACAAGAATAAGACCCACTATATATATTAAATTTCCCCTCTAAAAACAAATTGACCTGCATATGAATACATTTAAAAATAAATTCTTATTTGCCAATGTGGATTTTTTCTTTTTTAAAGGATTTTCTCCTAGAACTTCGCAGTGGCCCTCGTCCGCAGGGGTTAGCAATAAATAGTGTGACTAAAATGCACATGAAAATGTTATTGGTATCAAGAGTTGGAAGAAGCAATCAGTAAAAAGATTATAATTTAACCATTGTGTACTGTACACATAGGTATTTAATTGGAGGACCAGCTGCAGGAAGCCCTATGTAAATGGAATTTTCTGTCTCTACAATTCGATGAAGCTACTGATTTTTCGCTGACAGCCCAGCTGCGTATTTTTGTAAAAATTATTTGAATTAAGATGTCAAAAGAATTAACCATTATAGTCAAATAAATGATCATAATATTTACACTGTTTTCAACCCGCACCCCATTTCTGCTATCTTCTTTCCTCTGTATCTCATTTTATTTTCCTCCTTTCTTTCTCTCCCTGTCTTAGTCCCGACTTTCTTTCCTTAATCATTTCCAGTCTCTCTAGAACATCTGTATTTGTTTTTATTTTTATAAAGATACAGCAGAAAGAACAATAAGCAGACTGAATAATGCATTTTTGCTGAAGTTCCTAATCTCTGCCCTGTGGAGCACTAAGACTTCTTTTCGACCCCTGATTTAGAGATTAGCAGAGGTGATAAACATTATTTATCAGTTTTAAGCTCCTAAATACTCTTTTTTCTGGTGCCCCCATGTTTAGTCCCTCAATACTCATTGTGTGCTACAGAGTCTGTGCACTGTGCTGAGCTTCTTTGGGCAGGGACTTGGGTTAGAAGAACGGGGCACTTACGGGTTACTACCCTTGTGCCATGATGTTGATCCATTTTGTGAAACCTCAAAACCTTTGTGTCGTAACACGATCACTCTCCTACATATTTTTATTTTCAGTTTTTCCCATCCAAGATTGCAGTCTGTAGGATTAACATCTCAATGATTAGAAGCACACTGGTAAAGGTCCTGGAAACCTTGTTCAGCAATATCAGGTCATGCTTGTGTGGGGGGGAAATGAGCAGGCAGATAGATGGCCGGTTCATTGAGTGATGAACTGACATGTGATAAGCTAGATATTGTGAGAGCCCTTTGGCAGCGAGTAAACTATGCGGATGCAGAAACAGATCATTAAATGCACAAACATCATTAGGGTCTGAGAAGAATGGCACTGCAGGGAGTTACCAGAGGATCTGGGTATACAGGCACAGTTACTAGTACCATCGGAATTTGAACTCTTCGCTTGCTGCTGAAGATGAGGATGCAGCGCTTATGGAAAGTTTCCCCAGTACTGTGATGTCGATTCTCAATTCGACATTCACACTTATACTAGGCACCACAAAAAGATTACAGAGTAACTTGTAGCCCAGTATGGGTGGTGTGTTGGCAGGACCTACATCGTTTCGCCACATCAGTAATGATTCACAATAAAACGGACTATGTCTATTTACTTCATCATTTATCTAACGTTTCTGTTATTCTACAACCAGGAGACAGGTGGCATCCAAACCCTAACAAATTAACTAACTACAGACAAGTCAGAGTTAGACCTACAAATTGCTAGTAACAAATGTACTCAAAACAACAGCTACTGATTCAAACATTTGAGATTGAACTAATGCTTTGCTGTCCATCAAAACTCTATAAGGAGTTTCAATGTCCGGGGATATTTTATGGAAAACTCTATATCCTTTACCCATGGCCAAATCAGATTTCCTTCTGTTTTCAGTATGTGTTTTAATTTAAAAGAACTGTTGCAATGCGAAGGCTAAAGCTAATGTCATTCGGTAGCTCCTTCCCAGAAGTAAAATCAATAATTGGCTATCCTTCGAATAACGGTCCCAAATTATCGAGGCCGAAAATATACCGTAACAGGGCCTCAGTCACATGCCAATTTCGGACTTCCAGAGACATAATTTGCGAACTTCCCGCGACTACCTCCACCGCCGAGAGTATCTCGGCGTGGAGCGGGGCTAAACTAGATGTCTGGGACTCACAAGCAGCAGCTACCGCATCTCCTGCAGCTTCCTTCATTTTATTTGCTCGCGACTGGGAGATACTCTCCGCGGTGTTTTTTTTTTGACATGTGAAAGGCTCTGTTAGGGTAAAAGTTCGGCTTCGATAATTTGAGACCGTCTATTCGGATGATAGCCCAATAATAAATATCATATTTCGTTTCGCGTAAAGTATCCTATTTTGATTCGATGTGCAGGGACCTTTAGACTGCAGTGCTGCCAATGATAGGGTTTTTTACAGGCAGAGAGATCGGGGTAATCTGCACATTGGGTTTTAAAATTGAAAGCTGAAGTTTTTGTTTCAAGGCATCCTTATATAAAAGTGGGGAATGTTTAGTTTCGTAACTTTTAAAACCTGGAGACTTTTCAACAATCTGGGTGTTTTTTCGGTTCTGGCTAATGTTTTGCTTGGGTTTTTGTTTAGCTTAGACTGGGTATTTCCAAATTATGACATTGGCATCCTGTCACTAGAAATGTTTTTTTTTGCTGAAGAGGAAAAGGTAAAAGCGCTTGGGAGATGCGAACCAGCGCTATTACGCACGGTTATAGACCATAACTGTTGTCGAAGTCCGCACGAAACTCCGTAGCTACAGCGACGTGCGGATCTTTTCTCCAGGCCGTGCCGTCGTAGTCTCTAATGAACAGGCAGAGACGATTGCGCTTAATCTGCACTCAACTGGGGCCTTGAATAGATACATGGCAAGGCAGAAAGTGGTCAACGTAGAGGCCTTTGGGAACAAGCAACGGAATCAATAGAGAAACAAGATTATTATGACCTGGAGAGAAAGAAGCTGGCTGAGGTCCCATCCTTTGTCGGTTCCTGGAGTAGATTTGGGTATCTCGTGGACTTCAAAAAGTTGATAGAAAACTGGGTGATCTGGACTCGCTGCGCAGGTGTCATGGGTCGTGATGGTGCAACTCAGTGAACAAACTCCGCACGTTTATTCGACGTCTCGTCTAGTCATCCTTTAGAAATGATCACTTAAAGTAATTACGTCCCACATGGAAACGTTGTATGTAATAAATTAACATGTGCGTGATCTGATCTTTCTTGCACATCCGCAATTCATTTACTTATCGAAATCCCCTCTCAAGAGAAACTTGTGCTTGCAAGCATTAGGGTTATGTTGTGATCAGAGCTGCAATGACCGACTGACTGACTGACTTTTCTACCCCACTAGGACATCACACAAGCGATAAACATCCGAAGACACATAGTGCCACCATGTGGATGAGGATCACCGTGGAGAGATCCCAGAAACCGCGTTCAGACAATTGGCCATATTGATGGCCTGCCTATATTGCGGCCCCTGGCAAAAGCCAGAGTGGGGCTTCAAATAACAAAAAATTACGTCCTAAAAAGGACGTAAAGAATTAATGCTGCAATTGTGGTTACAGGTTGTCAAATGCAGGGTTCTTGGCATAAACTGCTTGATACTTGTTCAATACGTTGCTTCTTTCAAGCAATCGTTGTTAGTTACTCTGGCCTTGCAAGGTATTCGTAACACTCGTCTCAGAAACCACATCTCTGTTGGCAC